CCAGCAAGCCCAAGTCCTTCTCCCCAGGACCTCTCTCAATCCACCCATTGCCTAGCCTGTATTTGTACTTAGGATTGCCTCAACCCAGATGCAGGACCATCCACTTGGCCTTGTTAAACTTCATGAGGTTGGCCTGGCCCACCTCTTAAGCCTGTCAGGGTCCCTCTGGATGGCATCCCTTCTCTCCAGCATGTCAAGCTCACCATACAACTTCGTGTTGTCAGCAAACTAGCTGAGGGTGCACTCGATGCCACTGTCCATGTCGCCAAAAAAGATGTTATATAGCACCAGTCCCAGTACTGATCCCTGAGGAACACTGCTTGTCAGTGGTCTCCACTCAGACATCTAGCCATTGATCACAATTCTTTGAGTGCAACCTTCCAGCCAATTTCTTATTTTTCTTATATTAGGAAACAGTTCTTCACCAAAAGGGTTGTCAAGCACTGGAACAGGCTACCCAGGAAAGTGGTTGAGTCATCATACCTAGAGGTATTTAAAAGTGTGTAAGACATGGTGCTTAGGGACATGGTTTAGTGGTGGACTTGGCAGTGTTAGGTTTATGGACTTGGTGATCTTAAGGGTCTTTTCCAACATAAATTATTGTATGATTTGTTGGCTGGTTAATGAAGATCAGTAATGCACTTGTGTGGAAAATCTGGCACCAGGGGTCAGTGTTCACAGAGGAGACTGAGGAGTCCTGTAAAAATAAACTCGTGGAACGTCGAGGCTCGTGGAAACTGAATCTTGCCAAAATGTAGCCATGGTTTACCTCCTCTGTCTTTAAACAGTGACTTATTTCTGTTGTCAGGTGAACATTCTTAAGACCTGTGGGTTTTTTTCCCCCAGACTGAACCCGACTACAAAATACAACAGCATGTACCGAACATGCGTGCCCATACCCCCTGGTGCCTTGGCATTGCTCTGGGTGCCAGCAGGATATGAGCAGCCAGGAAAATCCCCCTCCACCACTACCAAAACCCCTACCAAAACCCAGCCAGACACCAAACCACCACATAAACTAAATGTATATACAAGTATATATCTTTAGGTCAAAATATACGTCTAGTTTAGGAACAGAAATTGCACTCTCACTCTTCTAACTTTTTTTGTCATAATTTGTTTTGTTTAATTAGATATTGCATATATAAAATTTGTTGCCTTTTTCAGACAGAATTTGGGAATGTGGTGTAACTAAGCCTTGCTTCAGGTTAATTAGTTCTAAAGCTAGGCCAAAAAAAATTTCTTTCTGAGAAGTAAGATGATTTTACGTGACTGTGTCTATGTGCAGTTCCCTGAGGACGAGCTAAAAATTCTCATTCTGGCTTTTTGAACTTATTTGATTATTCCTAAAGAAATTCCCTCAAGAAGTGTTTTGAACATTTGAAATATTGCAGGTGTTAGTCTGATTTGTCTTAAATCAGAGAACAAAGCAGAGTTATGGACCGAAGAATAGAGAAAAAAATCACCTAAAAATTAGAATGGATATTTCTCCAGGGGTCAGTACTGTGTCTGGTCTTGTTCAATATATTCATCAATGACCTGGATGAAGGGACAAAGTGTATCCTCAGCAAGTTTGCTGATGTACAAAACTGGGAGGAGTGGCTGATACACTGCCTTTCAGGGGGTTCTGGACAGGCTGGAGAATTGGACTGAGGAGAATCTCATGAAATTCAACAGGGGAAAATGCAAAGTTGATTGATGAGGGTATTGCCCGAGACAATCCCCTCCGTCTCCTTGTGCATGATGGCCACAAAGGAATTGGTGGGTTCAGGTCCGATACGACTCCTTGGAATCTCCTGCTCCAACAGGTCCTGGATGAAGGTGATTTTGCCAGTGGAATGTTGCCTCACCCTCAAAACCATAGGTTTATTGTCTTCCAACTCTGGCGAGTGGAAATTGTGGAAACGCTAAAATTACAACACGGGGAGTATCTCTTCCTGTAGATGCTCTTCTTGTTTCCCCTCCCACGGGTTGCATATAGCATGATTCAGGTGGAGATTTGAGGGACATAGTCATATATGTATAGAATTAAGCACGGGTGTTAACTGTAATGCTAATTTTCTAGGTAATTAAGCAGAAGTTTCACTCCAGGGCATCGTAGCCTTCAGAGTTTTGGCTGAAACAGTTTTTCTGCACTCTTTAGCCAAAACAGAGCCATTTTGCCTCTGCAAGGCTCCCTCTTTCAGCTGTTATCTTCCCTTACAAGGTAGAAGATAGAAGCAGATACCAGCAATCTTATCCTTTTGCTGTTTTTTTGCCAGATGAACAAGTTGCTCAGCTCTCGTCCTTGCTCTGTCCAGGGCATAATGACCTTACAAGCCTAGCATTTCTTCACAAGGTGACAATGGGTTTCTTCTCAGCAGAAGCCCAGGCAACGTGGTCAATTGTGCCATTCATCTGCCCAGTGGTGATGGCGACGGTGATGACAGGGTGGACAGGGTCCAGGGCAGTGTTGTGGAACACTTTGCTGAGCCTGGCCTCCTGCTTGATCTTCAACTTGAGGCCAATGCAACTGCGTGCCTCATAGGTTTTGATGCGGGGGTTGCTCCTGGAGGGCAAAGTATCCTTGTCCCTGTCCAGGAAGGGGGAAGCCGTGGCCCAGGTTACTGATGGGGAACACCTGCTGTGCTTGGTCACCAGCTTGGTCGGGTGGATGTGGGGGAGCAGCTGGGTGCAGGGCACCTTCCAGATGTCAGGGGCTAGCGCCACACTGGAGACAGAGGCCAGGGCCACTGAAGAGAAGGAGAGGCTCTGTGAGCAGGTGAACGAGGAGGTGTACTTGTCTGGAAGGGAAAACAGCACGTCAGGTGCTTTTATTAAAATGTTTGTTTAAATAATAAAAAAATAATTATAATAATATTCTTGCAAAATAAATATTTGGCAAATTTGCCTGCTCATGCTGCGATGTAATTTTTCCCACCTCTTATGCCTCTTGGCCCGTCTTCCCTTGGAAAGCTTACAGAGTTCATCTGTTATTGTCTTGAAAGATGAGATAACAACACAAACTTAATATACAAATAGCACAAACCATTGATCAAGAACCTCCAGAGCATCCAGAAACAAAGAGGAATTTGTTGAGGGCCTGAGCCCGGCACGTGCTTTGCATTAAATTAAGACTTTGGCCACCGAGACCATGGAGGAAAGAGCGGAGAAGAGCACAGGTGGCAGTGGGTAACGCTTGCTCTCATTTTCAACAGCTTTTCCCCCAAATCCACCATGGAAGAGGCTGACACTGCCCTACACAGTGCAGGGCACAGAGACCTCCCTCCAAAGAGGAGGAAAACATCCAGTGCCAAGGATCTGTTTCAAAAAGGTGGGCAAATCACAGAAAGAACTTGTCTCCCACCTGGATTCTCCTTTGTCAACTGCTTGTTGACCACTAACATGGTCTTTTCTTCCTGGATAAACATGTGGTTGATCACAACCATCTCAGCAGAAGGACTGACTCTGCAGAAGAGGAGAGGGGAGGAAGAGTGGCTGCAGTTAGACACTGCCACTGTAACACAGTCACTGGGTAGAGTGGAGAAGGTAGGACATGCCGGACTCACCCGAGACTCCTCCAAGAGCAGCAGGTGGTGCATGTTCAACATGGCTTGCCTGTGCTTTAGTGGCTTAGTAGACACCACTTCGAACTCTTCATCCACTGCAAGGAAGAGGAGGATGGGGAGAAAGTGACAGTTTGTGTCACGAGGCCAATGCAGATGCGGGCTCGGTGGCTCTTAATAATAAACTTTTTCAGTGGACTTTCTCGATTTTATTTTTTTTTTAGTTCTAAAACCCCCAGTTTTTTTGGAAATCCTCCCATTCTAGCAGGAGCCACGTGCTGACCCCAGGGGAGACTCACCCTTCGGTAGTCTTGAGCAGAGAGCAGCACCCCCTGGTAGATGTGGTAGGGCAGGAGCTGCTGCAAGGCATTGTCAAAGGAGCGGAGTGATGTCTTGTAGTCTGGATACAGCACTGTGCTCTGGTGCTTGTGCAGCTGCTCCAGGAAACTGGATGGAAGGAGAGGAGGGAAAACTGCTGGGGGAAGGGGTTTGATATGCCAAATTACCTGTTAACAGCATCATGGGGACGAAGGGCCATGGAAATGAAGGTAATGAAGGGAGCTGCAGCAGCGAGTCATTCTCTGGTGTGTTATTGACACCGCTGACGCACTCATCAAGCTTCCTGGCTGGGCTTTCTTCAGAGCAAGTTGCTGTCATACTGTGGGAGGATAAGGGACAGGGGTGAGAGGGGCTGCCGCACCAGGGGAAGTGTCATCCCCTCATGGGGAGAAACATCGTCCTCTCTCAGGGGGAATCTATCCTCCTCCCTCGGGAGGAAACTATCATCCGCCCCTCAAGTGAATGGAGGTACAGGAGAGAAATTGCAGAGACTGGCAACTGCTCCAGGAAGAAAGAAAACTGATTGAATTTGTTTAGAATAAGGGGAAGGAGCAAAAGGAAAAAGCAAGGATCACCACGGATTTTAAGTACAGAGGAAGACTTCTGCTCCCTTTGATGGTTTTTGGTGTATTTTGACTACGCTTATATTTAGATAGGATATATAAATTGGTTTATATATCCCTGGGAAGAGCATAAACTCCCAAGTCTAAGGTGTATTTTTGCAGAAAAATAGAATTATTCTAGTTTGTACTTCCAGAAATCCACACCAACAGCCCTGACATCCCGTTAAATCATCACTAAGTAATCGATTCTCTTAAAGAGGAGGAATGATGAAGGCCCCCTCCCCAAAAGTTTCATGAATATCGGTGGAAATGATTAATTTTGTATCATCTTTAGAGCTTCACAGCACTTTAAAAGTGGAAAAAAAAAGTTTTGGAAATTAATTCTTTTTGATAAAACAAAGGGGAACACTGACAGATTTATTTACTCTCAAGGTGGAAATCTTCGAAATAAAGTGGAAAATGGTGAAAAAGCCTTCCTCACCTGAACCAGCTGCTGTATGGCAAGAGGGTGGGGGGATTGCATTTGGGAAAGGTGTGTGGCCAGGAGCTGCGGGCTGTCCCCCAGGGGAGGCTGAGGTATTGAAGGGGACAGGGAGGCGCCAGGGAGCTTGTGCTGCCCTGCAGGCAACTGAAACAGAGAACGAAAGAGTTAGTCAAAGCTCAAGGAAGGAGTTTTGCTCTCAAAGATGCCCATAGGGGGATTTCTCAGCTCTGTCCAAACACAAGCACCACTGGTAGAGCATCTCTGCCTCCTGCCATAGCGAGGCCCTGTGAAAATGAGCTCCTGCTCTAGGCTGCTCTGCCCTATCAACCTCCCTAACCTCCCCCAGGGCAGGCCCTGGCCCACACTGGGGATGCTGGAGGGCTTGGTTGTGCTGCCATCAGGCTTGCCACAGCCCCAGTGTTGCTTTTAAAAGCATTTTCAGGGTCAGGATAAGGTAAAATTGCAGGAGGGCATCTACCCTAGTGTTCCTAGGACTTACAAAAGCAGATCCATGCCATGGCTAGGGTGCCCAGACCATCCAGGCTCCCCGTGAGCCTGAAGGAAGAAGCTTTTTCTAGTTTTCTTCCCTCCAGAAAAACCTTACCACCGCCCCCAGGACTGGCTGGAGCAATGCTTGGACATATCCTGCCCTCCTTTCCCACCACAGACGATGCAAGTGTGAGGCTGCCACTGAGGAAGGGGATCCCCTGGGCATTGGCTTTGCAGAGCCAGGCTAATGAGGATGGTGTTAATGTGGACTGCCCTAATTGCTTCTGTGAGCACCAGCTCAGCATCTATTTAAATTTCTGGGGATTTACCCCAAGAACTGTGCTCTCAAAGTATCCCTCTGATTAATAGCAATTTTAGTACTTTGTAACTCCCAATTGCTATGGAAATATAAAGAATTGGGGAAAAAAAAAAAGAATTTTTATTAAAATTCTGGTAACGAAGCCTCCAGCAGGGACACAAACATACCAGGCAGTGGCTTACACGAGTGAGTTAGAGGAGAAAAAAAAGCAACACAGCACAGCAGCAGCTTTCAGGGTTAGTGAGGACCTGCAGGCAAGCAAGGGGGAGCAAGCCGGAGCTCGGAGGGGAGACAGATGGTGGGGTGGCTGGCAGGAGGGAGGAGAGCCAGGTGGCACCCCCACCTCCTGGCAGAGAGTGGACTCCTGCAGCCCCCCCATCCTGTATGTCCAGGGCTGCAAGTTGTGGTTTTGCGGTGTAAGAGCTGAAAGCCCCCCCAAAACAGCTGGCCCAGTGGCAGGGGTGTGATGGCGGCAGCGATAATTTACCAGATTCCACTTAATTATGGGGACCGAGGTGCTGGGTCCAGGAGGGAGCATCCTGCCCTGCTCAGAGCACTTTTTCCCCCCTCTGCTTTCCACCAAGGTGAGTGGAGCAAACCTGGTTTCTTTGCTCCGAAAGCAAAACCCACAGCGCCCTTTTGTCAGCTACGTGTCGATCCAGTGAAGAAAACTGGAGGTTTACAGGTCCTTCTCCTTCACCGGCCTCTCGATGCATGCATCCCAGTGCCATGACACCGACTTCATCAGCAAGGTGGCTGCCGAAGAGAAAACTAAGACTGGTCTGGCCCCCTGGATGCCGGCACCACATCTTGTGTGCCTGACAGGAAAGGCAGAAGTGTGCAGGTGCAGAAAACAGCTTGCTCTGGGGACTTTTCAGGGGACATGTTGTGTCCAATAACGCAACTGCAGCAATATTTAGTGTGATTGTAGGTTGAGGTAGGCAAAAGGCGCTACCGTGACACTCAGGAGAATCCCCTGCGCCATCACAATGGTGGACGCCTGGTTTTAATGACACTGAAATACCGGGAGGCGAGTGTCAACACCAAGCTCAAATACCTAGAAAGATGTATCCGTGCTATGAGTTATGCCAAAACTGAGGAAGTGTAGTCTGGATGATTGGGTAGTGAGGTGGATTGTGAACTGGTTGAATGAAAGAAGTCAGAGTTGTGGTCAATGGGACAGAGTCTAGTTAGAGGCCTGTATCTAGTGGAGTCCCTCAGGCGTCAGTACTATTCAATATATTCATCAATGACCTGGACAAGGGAACACAATGCACTGTCAGCAAGTTTGCTGATGATGCAAACTGGGAGGAGTGGCTGACACACCAGAAGGCTGTGCTGTCATTCAGAGAAACCTGGACAGGCTGGAGAGCTGGGTGGGAAGAAATTTAATGAATTACAACAAGGGCAAGTGTAGAGTCTTGCATCTGGGAAAGAAGAACCCCATGTACCAGTGTATGTTGGGGACTGAGCTGTTTGAGAATAGCTTAGGGGAAAGGGCCCTGGGGGTCCTGGTGGACAGCAGGATGACCATGAGCCAGCGATGTGCCCTCGTGGCCAAGAAGGCCAATGGCATCCTGGGGTGGATTAGAAGGGGTGTAGTCAGTATGTCGAGAGAGGTTCTCCTCCCCCTCTACTCTGCCCTGGTGAGACCACATCTGGAATATTGTGCCCAGTTCTGGGCCCCTCAGTTCAAGAAGGACAGGGAACTGCTTGAAAGAGTCCAGTGCAGAGCCACAAAGATGATTAAGGGGATGGAACATCTCCCTTCTGATGAAAGGCTGAGGGAGCTGGATCTCGTTAGCTTGGAGGAGACTGAGGGATGATCTCATTAATGTTTATAAATACGTAAAGGGCGAGTGTCAGGAGGATGGAGCCAAGCTTTTCTCAGTGATGTTCAATGACAGGACAAGGGGCAACAGGTGCAAGCTGGAGCATAGGAGGTTCCACATTAACATAAGGAAAAACTTTTTCACTGTGAGGGTGACAGAGCACTGGAACAGGCTGCCCAGAGAGGTTGTGGAGTCTCCTTCTCTGGAGACATTCAAAACCTGCCTGAATGCGTTCTTGTGTGATCTACTCTAGATGGTCCGGCTCTGGCAGGGGGGTTGGACTAGATGATCTTTTGAGGTCCCTTCCAAATCCCTAAAATTCTGTGATTCTGTGATTCTGCGGTTCTGTGACAGTTTTAAAACTGCCTGCTCCTGAAATAACAACAACAAATAATCGAGAGCACTTGTGCTCTTCCTATTCCTTCCTCTGACAATTCAGGGACTTTGGGGGATTCTGAACCAGCACCCGCCTGTATGAATAGGAGTTTAAGAACAAAGAAAACTCACAATGGTTCAAATCTGGCATCTAAAATGTCACCAAACCCTTTCCCAATATAAGCAAGATAAGACACTGGCAGCCCTTGCTGGACCGACCTTGACCTCCTACACAGGTCAAGGTCCCAATGCATTCCGTCTTGACAAGATACTGCATATTGATGCTGTTGCTTCAAGAGCCACCCAATTATCTGACTCAAGCTAACACAGGTTGAAAACCCCAAGTGGGAAAGCAGGGCTGATGCCACTGGCTGAGCTTGATGCCGAGCCACCCGCAGAGCATGGGGATAAGGCAGACACCAGGTCCGTGCCGACCCCTCTGTGCCGCAGCGGTGGCTTTGGTGACCTGGACAGACCCATCCCCAGCTCCTCCTTCCAAATGAGATGGCACTTCCCCACACGTACTCTGAGCCCTGCTCATCCCTTCTTCCAACTTGAAATTTAAACACCCACTGAAGAAGGGAACAGCCCTCCGGTGGGAAGACAACATGTTAAGAATTAAAGCAACACTGGAGTGCTTCTAGCATGTACGGCATGCAAAGCAAGCCCAAAAGTGGGGCTCATTGCAGCCCACTATGCTTGGCATCGGTCTCCAAATCCCACAGGCGCCAAGAGAGGGGCTCTGCTTGCCTGCTGTAAGAACATCTGTGTGGAGTCCTGGTTGATGACAGCTCTGGTAGCTGCCTGCCCCAGGATGATCTTCTCTGGGCTGGAAGCCAAGCTGGGGCTGGGCTGGGAAGTGACAGGCTTCAGGGCGGGCAGCAGAGGTGGCAGCAGCAGCATGTTGAGCTGGAGCGAATCAGGCAGCTGGGAGGTGGTTTGGATAGTGAGGATGGAGGACTGGTTGGTGGCAGGCAGCAAGCTGGCACCCAAAGCAGGCTGTGGCTGGATGAGGCCAGCGCTTTGGCTTCTGATAGTGGCAGAGGCTTGGCTGTTCATCGGTTGGCCGAGGTTCTCGGTGGCATTGAGCATGGCCACCTGGTTGGGTAGTGTCACCACGTGGATCACCATCTGGCCTGTTTGGCCCAGTGAAGTGGCCATGGAGGGTTGTCTCTGTGTGGTCAAGCTGCCTGCCAGCAAAACGGGCATCTGGAAGAGAGATGGTTGACCCACCTGGCCGGGCTGGGGCTCAATGGGAGCCGAGAGAATGTGACCAGTGCCGTGGGCATTCTGCGAGGTGAGAACCTGGCCCAGGTTCAGCTGGCTGGCGATGTTCTGGTTGGTGAGGATCTGGGCCAGCAAGGCTTGATTGGTTATTAGCTGTCCACCTGATCCTTGGCTAATTATGATACAGGCTTGCCCGCTGGGTTGGGAGGTGGTCAGGATCTGCCCTCCCATGTTGGCCTGCAGGGCAGAGAGCTGCTGGGATATCTGCATGGCAGAGGCACCCGCCAGCTGCCCAGAGAGGAGGAACTGGTTCAGGCCCTGCAGCATGGCCTGTAGGATGTGCTGAGCAGGGACGATGATGCTGCTTCCCTGATTCAGGTAGTGGATGCTCATGGGCTTGCTGAGGGCTTGCTTCTGTGGCAGCAGCTGCTTTAAAACGTTGCCTGGAAGCCCTTTGGGGAAGCCTGAGAGCACCACATTCTGCCTGGGTTTGCCAGCCATGAAAGTCAGGTTCTGCTGGGCCTTCTCCTGCTGCACAGTGGTGTTGTTGGGTCTGAAGGGCTTGGGGGTGATCTGGTAGAGCTTCTGCTGGAGGACTCTGGCAGATTTGGGCTGAAACGTGGTGGGCATCCTGCGAACGGTGATGTTTTGGGTCTGCACCAAGGAGCTGCTCAAGTTGGAGGTGACAGTGAGCTGCTGGGAGCCTTGAGTCCCAGACACACTCCTGAACATGGAGTTCCCATTCAGTGTGGCCACCATCGGCAGGTTCTTCTAGATGACGAGACTGGCATTCTACGGAGAGACCCCCATTGAGGCAAGAGTGGCCTGCTGCTGTTCAGGCTCTGTCTGGGTGATGTAGCTGCCAACCAGCACAGTAGCCACTTGGGAGGGCTGATCCTGCTTTATGATGATCTACTGCGCTGACTGGTTGATGGCCATCACCTGCTGCCCAACCACCTGCATTGGCCCAGTTCCCAACATCCCGCTGGGGCTGCCGTTGGGCAAGCCTTGAAGGTTGGAGATGGGCTGGATGGTGGCATTCCCCAGGCTGACTTGGAGGAAAATCTGAACACTGGTGGCCCTGTTGATGACATGTGCTCCTACTGACTGCTGCACCGGGGCTTGGTGCGTCAGGACACTGGGTTGCTGCAGCCCAATCAGGTCAGCTCCACCGGAGAGGACCTGCGGGGTGCCATCGGTGGCCGTCTGCACCACTGGCTGGAGAGTGGGAAGCTGGAAAGAGTCCGGGTCCAGCTCAGTCTCTGCCACCAAGGTCTGCTCAGTGATACTGGCCACTGCAAGCCCTGCTGGAGGATGTCACAGGGCTGGTCCAAGTTCTGCACTACTGGATGGCGACCCCAGGATATCATCTTCTAGAAAGTCAAGGTCCACGCTGGTGGTGGGCTCATTGTCCTGAAAGCAGGTTCTTTACTCAGTGTGCAATAAGCCATTTCCACACAGTCAGAGATACTGCTTTTATTCAGGCCCAGGTGCTTGGTGGAATCAACCCACAAATCAAGGACATCTGAGCACACGTATTGGTCACATTTATGTTCCAAAACATAAATTCATAAATAGAGATTAATCATCTAGCTAATATGTATTCAAAGCTAATTTGCATTATGCTGAATCATGGTTGAGGCTTGATGTGTGCATATAGTCTCTGGTGGTCATTCGAGGGCGCCGACCACTCCTCAAATTGACCACGTATGGTCAAGGTTCTTTTAAGGACACCATGCGTATGGTCCAGCCTATCGTGTTCCCAACAGTTTGCTCTTATCTTGGGATATCTTCCAGAACTTCATCAACTCCTTTCTTTCTTCTCTTTGTTTCTTGCTTTGGTCCTTGATCAGGGGATTGTGGTTTGATGGACATGATAAACTGTGCCTACTTTTTAGGTATAGTCAGCCAAGCCTCTGTCACCTGTGTACTAGCAGTACATGGTTTCAATATTCAAGCTAAATCCCTACAACCAAGCCAAATCCCTTTAACCATATCCCTGCATGCAAACTGAATTTCTGACACAACAGGCTGGCTCTGCTTGGTGCTCAGATGGTTGCCAGAGGACTCTTGTACGTGCAGCTGGGAGATTGCTGGTCAGGGGGGAAGAAGAAAGAAGAAGGCTTTGAGCTTGAGCACAAGGAGAAGGCTTCAAGTCAACAGCTAATAGCTTTTGTGAGCCACCGCCAAGGGGAGCAGGACAATAAGGCCCTCGCCTCCATTTGCTAAGCGTGGAGAGCATTTACCAGTGCTGTAGGAGAACTATAGGTGGCCCTGGGCAAGCAAAGGCTGTGCTGGGAAGAACCACAGAAATAAGGAAATAAGGGGGAAAAGTGACATGCAGCTGAACCTTGGACCCCCACTGGCTCTGCACTGTCGTGTTTCCTAGAACACAGGCCCACCAGGAAGTTCAAAAATAAAAGTCAAAATCAAAGTAAACCTCAACTCCGAGAGAAATGTGTTCGTTCTAAAGCATCACCAGCTTTACCCAGAGTCTTTTGGAAAAAAATAAAGTGCAATGGAGATAAAAAAGGTTTAAAAAATCAAGAATCTCATTAGAATGAATATTGAAATAGATGGGGAAAAAAAAGGAGGGAAGAAAAAGAGCCTTTGTCCTGGTTTTGGCTAGAATACAGCTAATTTTCACAAGAAGCTGGTAGGGGGCGCAGCCGGAACAGCCAAACCGAAGTATTCATTCAGTACCATGCTGACGTCATGCTCAGTTATGTAAGGGGAAGTGGCGGGAAGGTCGGCACAGCCCGGTGCTGAGGGCGGCCCAGGTGGTGAGCCATTGTGGTTCGTGTCACTCACTGTATATATGATTTCATTAGTATTTTGTTACCGTTGTTTCTTCTCTCTTTGTGTTGTCCCATTAAACTGTTCTTATGTCAATCCGTGGGGTTTTACCTTTTTCTCCAGGCTCTCCTCCCCACCCCGCCGCAAGGGGGAGGAGTGAGCGAGCGGGTGCGTGGTGCCCTGCTCCTGGCTGGGTCTAAACCACGACAGCCCTTCATGCTTGAATGTTTTCCATGCACAGTAACCCATGCTCTTGGGGGAAAAAAAGGGAAGAAAAGAGAATGTTAAGAATCTACTTCCATGCGTTTTACCTTCTCTGTGGCAGCAGCCTGCAAGGAAAGGGAGCCCTCCGGCCTAAGGGAGGGCTGAGAGGACAGGGCCTTTTTTTCTCACCGTCTTTTCTGAGCATTCTTCCAGATTATCTCTATAACCTTTGAGGTGCAAAAGCATGGTTGTGCCTTTCTTCACCTGATTTTATAGCCTCAAATCTTTGTTGAAAGCAGACTTTGTATCTGCATGTGAAAGCAAGTTTTCTCCCCAGATATTAGGGGAATCTGTTTGAGCTATTTCTTGATAAATCTTGGGGAATAATCACTGGGAAACAGATTAAAAACAAGCCTGTGAAACAAACAAACAAATAAACAAAAAGAGGAAAGGTTTCTAAGCTGATATTCCCCGAGCATAAATTACAAAAATAGATACCCCAGCACCTTCAAAAAAGGCACTGTCTGCATCTCATGTGGCGTCCAGGAGATCATCACTGTCAATCTGTAATTAAAAAGTTTTTATTTACTTTCTTTAGATAGAATATTAAAAAAAAAAAGGAAAAAAAAAAAAAAGGAAGAAAGGACCACGGTGCTGCCCGGCAGCCTCTAGAAAGCACTGAGCTTTCGTCAGGGGCAGCAGTGGGGCAGCATCTCTCCCTGTTCCCTGCTGGCTGGCACCCCGTACCCCGTTTCATCTTAAAGTGCCCCAAAACCCCATCTGGCTGCTCCACACAGGCAACAGTGGGAGCTACCAGTCTGAGAGCTGCCCATTGCACTGGGCCGGGGTCATAAAAATGAAGGATCCTGAACCCAGGGGTGTCTTTCTTTAGAAAAACTTATTATATACAAATTAAAAGAAAAAAAGGAAGTTTGCATTACAAGGTTTTGGTGGATAGAAACAAGCTGTCGCTCACTGTTTTGGATCCATGTAAAAAGTTGTTCAAGGCCTGAGGATCACTGCAAAACAACACATGAAACCATTCAGGGATGCAATGCATAACCCACAGCAAGGCAGGGGCAGAAAACGTGTTTCTGTTTAATGCAGTTGAGTGCTCTTATGTGCAATAACTACCAAGATAACACCAATTTCTACCTTATTACATTACAGAGATAAGCTACTAAATAGGTCAGTTTTCTTCGCTGGAGTCATTAACGTTGCCTTATTCCCCTTCCCCACTCAATTCCGTGAAGCCCCAGTTACCAACAGTTTCATAATCACAATAAACCTCTTTGGACAATTAGCATTGGCTGTTTGTCAAAAATTAAAATAATCATTTGGGTGACGTGCTAACGAGCATCCCCAGCCCGGTGCCACTGATGGCCAGCAAGGATTGAAGGGCAAATAAAAAAGTCATAGCAGTCATCAAAACATCAGAGGGGTGGGATTTATTCACTTGATAAATGGGACAGGATTTATTCACATGATAAGTGGGACAAGTGCAATATGGGACACACTGAGTCTGTTCTTTCCCTGCATAAAGCTATTCAGAGCCTCCTCCAGCACAGCCCTGGGGAACACCAGAGCCCTCCAAGCATTGTGGCAGGAAACAAACCTATAAATCAGGAGGGGTCTGTGAGTTTGGGAAACTCGCAGACCCTTTTGGACCACACCTCCAGTGGTTTTCGGGTCTGGGAAAGCCAGCCTGGCACTGGGTGATTGATGGGGATGCGCCTACAGCCTGAGGGAGGCAGAAACCCCTTCCCACCCCTATGCCTTCCCCAAAACAGCATGAGAGATGATGAGCAGCCACAGTGCCTGGCTCCTGGTGTGGTGCTACTTACCAAATTACATCTAGGCTCTGGCAGTCTTCATCACCCATGTCAACTGCAAAAAGGAGGAGAGAGAGAGAGACTCCACATTACCCTCAGGGGTCAGGACCTGCTCCTTGCTCTCTCCATCCCAAACACCATGCTTTGCTTTTTCTTCCCCATCCCCAGGGATGATGATGATAATGATGACAACGATGTCCTGCTGCTATCTGATGGTGGAAGACAGGGGACTGGACCAGGGGACACCCCAACAAGAGGGTTCACCGATCAGAGGAGTCAGTCGAGCCCCTTAACCAGCAGCCAAGGGACTCACTTGTCCCTCCAGCATGCTCAACCCTCCACTGCTCCAATCCTTCCATCATGGTTACTTGTTCCTCCACCAGATAGATTTCACAGCTGGTTATCCCTCCTGGGGGTTAGGCATCACTCTGAAACCCAAATGGGCAGGTTTTTGGCTTGTTTTCACCCTGCCGAGGGGTACCAGTGACCTTAGCCGGCCGTGCCCGGTGCAGGATGGTCCCACATCCTCCACGCTGGGAGGCGGCACAAGCCAGATCCTGGCACCCGCAGGCACAGTTTGGCAATAACTCGTATTTAAAAATCACATATTTCTGCATTTTTATCCCTAAACTTTAACTCTGGCAAAACGTATCAGGAGGCATTTTGCTTCCGAAGGTGGAAGTGAAGATTTTTCTGCTAATAATGCAAGATTTGGCACCAGGCCACCTCCTCACCAACCCCTTTTGATGACAGGGTCTGGCAAATAGTGGGAGTTTGGGGTTGGTTTGGAGTTTTTTTGGTGTTTCCCCCGCTTTTCCTCAGCTGTGGCCTGGGAAGGGTTTGGAGGCACACTGGGGCAAAACTCCCTAAGGAGGCTTAGCTAACGAATATCAAGGAGGGGCAGGGAGGCGGGGCAGGGAGGGGGTAGCAGTGCAGAAGCAGCCAGGGAAACTCACTGAAGGATAAACACCCCTTTACCGGGCTGAAGTTCACAGTTTTGCACAATCTGGCTTCAGTTAGTGTCTGTCAGATGTAATTATTTTCAGGACCTATGAATGAATAATCTAAATATGCAAGCAAAACTCAACTAAGTACTCTGCAAAAGACTGTGGCCTGACGAGCACACGCTGCTACACGAATGACACCACACGTTTTAATTTTCCCATTATTTCAGACATTCTGCTGAGTATTTAGGAATAACGAAGGAACTACCAAAACTGAGAAGATTTGCTCCAGGTTCCAGCTGAAATCTTCCCCGACGCAGCAGGCACACACACACCACCACAGCCCCCCCAGGTCCCGCCAGGCTGGGAACACATGCCAGCATTTCTAACCACAGACCAGGCAAACCTTCCTAAGGCCAGCTCAGCGCTGCAGCAATCATCCAAAAATTATACTGATAAAGTTTCTCCCTACCCTCATCTTTGGCTGATGAAAACCCTGGTGGTCTGAACACTCACTACAAATATAAATCTATGATATTCCTTAAATATATGCCATAAAATCACTTACTTGCATCCGTACGTGTCAGTCAAAGGGCACTAGGGAGGAGCTGAGGGTACGCAGCTGTGTTTCAGAGTGATGCTCTGTTGCTGGGAAAGGAGCACCTGATGTCATGAACAGAAGCAGCGACATCACCATGGGGCAGGTGAAGGCAGGGCAGGGAAGTGATGATAAAGCTGTTGAAGTGAAAAAAAGCAGAGAAATAGCAGATTTTATTTTGCTGCTGGGTTTGATGCCTTGTCTCTGTCTACAGGGTAGAACAAAATCAAAACATGCCGAGAATGACAAAGGGGTGATGAACGATGAACTAGTGGCCTGAGATGGCCCATTTTCATCCCTTTTTCACACACAAAATAGCATCCTGGGTTGGATGGAGGACACTGTCCTCCCTCCACCTCTGGCACAGGCTCGTGCTCATGTCCTCGGCATCCTGATGATTAGTATGAATTATCTTTAACTGGGCAGCTAGGTGTGACACTGACATGGTGGAATGATGGGCTTTCAGTCCTCAACCTTTGCCATCTTCCACTTCAGAAAAGAAAGATTTCTCCAATGCTTTCCCTGGCAGTGACCGGCCTGCATGATTTAACTCTTCAAAATGCTGCCAGACTTCAACCTTTGCATCATTCTGCAAAGAGCATTGTGTGGCTGCAAACCTGACAGAAATTCAGGAACCTAAAAGTAAAGTAAGCTCATTTCTTCAATGCTGTTAAATGTGTATCTGGGATATTAAACCATGATGATGCTGTTTAATTAGTCTGGAAATTGCAATTGATGTTCCCAGGGTTTTTGCTCCTCCCTCAAACCCAGGAGCTGCCAACACAACAGGGCGTTTTGAGCAAACCCTCCTGCCATCCTCTTCCCCCCAAGTTATTTTAAACATTCGATCACATCTGGACACCACAACCAAACATTTCTAGTGTCACCCCTGGAAGATTTCGAGTATTGTACCATGGTTATAACCATATTTCCACTTTGTAAATAATTAGAAAAAGAGGAGCTGGTAAAACATGTGGCGCTTTCACTAAAGCTGACAAGTCACCTTCAGCAAAGTGTTCTTCCTTCCACTTACAAGAGCTGAAGGAAGTACTGGGAAAAACCTGCCTCCAGTGTTATCGTTCATTTTAATCTTCGACATTAACAGTTACATCATTCCAGAAATTAACTAAATGTTCATGGAAACCAGGCAGCTGGGAATTGGTACTCTTCGCAGCACCCTGCCTGCCAAAAAGAGAAAACCATGGCAAAAGGCAACACGGAGACTTTCTGCCACATGAGCAAGCCTCATTCCTAATTCCCAGATTATCTTGGTGAGGTCCTGGCAGGAAAAGTAGCCCACTCACCATGTGCAAGCCAGGACAGTTGATGGCAGCAGGACCTGCGGAGCAAGGTTGCATAAAAGGGAAAAGGGTTTAGTATTTCCAGCCTACTATCTGCAAACAGGAAAGAAAAGAACTTTCGTCCCCTCTAAGGCACAATTTCTTCCTCATACGTACCCAAACCTTCAGCATTCAGCAGTAAGTACTGACCAGCCTTGTCTTGATCGCTTCCCTCACTGTGGAGGAGATGGCAGAGCCAGGCTTCACTTTTGGTACTGATCATACCAGTCCTATCTGCAGCCTGCTCCTTAATTGTAAATTATTCTTTGGTTTATCACATTTAAGCCATTGTGATTGTTGTGGGAGCGGTGCCAAACTTACGGAAGATTGATCAAGATTAAAATAGAAGCATGAAGATGATGTTAGTATATAAGAATGAATATGATAAAAGACCAGGTGTTCTAAACAAGCCACACAGGAGAATGAATCTTGAGTGCATGAGAAGGCCAGGCTGGAAAACCATCTGGGAGTGTGTGTGAGAAAAGACATGACTGAAAACAGTCACAACTGTGTGTGTGCCAGAGAAGAATGTAAAACATCCTGCTTGGCTTTATAGTTCAGGAACAAGAGAGCTGTATAGAATTGCTTGACAAAGGGGAAGCAAGAGAGCTTCCTTTGCTATGCTGCATGTGTGTGCTGATTAAAGTATATACCTAGAAAAAGACTAAAAGTTTCCGTCTCCTTCATCGCTGCAATCATTATTCCCCAGTGATTTAGCTTCCCTTCGTAGAGATAATGGTTAGAATAGATTTTGTATCACACCCAGATCATTTTAAGCTAACTCTTTGGAAAGCTGAGGATGCCCCCGACCGCCCAAAGACAAGGAGCTGAATGCGGCCACTAGCTGCCAGCCTCAGACCTGCCCTGGCATGGGTAAATCCCTGGGGCTGGCACTGAAACAGAGCTGCCCTCGGCCTTCAAGACACAAATTACCTTTGCAAGACTCAGGGAAAACAGGCTTCCAAGCCCAGGATTGGTTTCAAGCCGTGGTATTAGGGTGAAAAAAGGTCTTGTCCTAGTAATGAGAAGTTTTTAGAAGTAAGATATAAATGGCATTGCAAGGACGGTGCAAGGGTGGTGCAAGGGTGGTGGATGTCCATCCTGTGGTTCCAAATCCATACACCCTCTGGCCTCAATTCCTAACAACAATACTTCTTTCACAGTATTAGACTTGAAGGATGCATTGTTCTGTAGACCTGTGGATGAACAGGGTGAGATCATCTTTGCCTTTGATGGGAGAATCTGACTACAGGATGAAAAACACAACTGGACTGTCAAGAATAGCTCCAACTTAGTCGGTAACATACTAGCTAAAGAGCTAGAACAATGGCAAAGTGACAATGATCATGTAACATTATTACAATTTTTGAAAGATGAAGCCAGTAAAGGTTGGCCAGCCTGCCTGAGGGCAGTAGCAGCTACTGTACCATAAATTGAAGAATCACAGAAATTATGTTACTGAACCTTGTCGCAGTACGGACTGACACCAACAAAAATATATGTAAGAAGGCAGCCTTTATTAAGTTACAAAAAGCCAAGGTGACTGAGATGGCGCAGCAGAAAAAGTGTACCCTTTTATAACCTTTCTTGTCTGTCCACTGGTTCATGCACTAGGGCTGCTAAAATTTACTCAATAGCTCTGTCCATTAACCTCTATTCACATACTGATTGGCTGGAGCTCCTGCTGTATTTCCCACTTCTTCTACTGTTCTCTTGCCAAATTTCTGCTCTGTGGTATTCACTTGTTTAGTCTCTTCTTGCTCAGTCTCTTATCTCCTCCTCAAACCTGTTTACAACATTCTTCGTCCACTTCTTTCATCTTCTCACGGGTATACCGGGATGCTGTCAAGGCCAATTTCGTCTTCCTCAGTCAGGCTATCCCCAACAGAACCTCCCTAAGCTGCTTTGACTGATGGGAGTGGCTTTGTATTAGAAGGGAGACCAAAAACTGGGTATGCTGTAGTAACATCTGCTTAGACTTTGGACAAGAAATGCATTCAGGAGTAGATGCACTAGTGTTGGCTGCCAAAAGATATGCTGTTGAGCCAAATATGCAAAGTTTAACTAATATAATAGTTAAAATGTGTTCTATTTCTTGTGCTAATAGTCCCAAAATTTACAAAAAAAAATCATAGGAAGAATTGTAAAAAAGGAGTAACTCCTGGGGAATACTGGCAAATAAATTTTACAGAGTTACTAAGATACAATCTGTACAAATATTTATTGGTAATAATAGATACCTTTTCTGGTTGGCAGAGGCCTTTTCCTGTTGTACCAACAAGGCTAGGGAAGTAATTAAGGCTTTGTTGAAAAAAACAGGTTTGGTATTCCTGAAGGAATTTTATCTGATAAAGGACCCCATTTTATTGCAGAAATAGGACGGGGTATTTTTAATTTTTTAGGCTTAAAATGGATCTAGATACACCTTGGAATCCACAATCCAGTGGTACAGTAGAATGAACAAATCAAATGTTAAAGAG